TTTTAATTGTTTTTTTCCTTTTGTTTTTCTGATTGGTTGATTTTTTGTGCCGTCTTCTAATTCACTGATCTGGTCCTCAGCTTCCTCTACTCTGCTCTTTAGACCTTCCAATGTGTTCTTTATTTCTGATATGTCATTCTTCATTTCTTCTTGGTGGTTTTTAATTTCCAATTGGTTGATTTTCAACATTTCTATGTCTTTACTCATGGTGTTGAGCTTCCTTAAGATCATGGCTCTGAATTCTAGCTTTGTCAACTTGCTTAATTGCTCCTCACTTATCTCATCTTCGGTAGAGGACTCTTTTTCTTTCATTTGGCATTTGTTTCTTTGTTTCACCATTTTGGCTATCACAATGGGCTTTGGAGCCTGCCAAATTTTCCCCGTGGGTGTTGGTGTTTTGCTGTTTGTGGCTCCCTCTCCTGGGTTTAGATGAGCGTGGGAGGACCCACGTTAAACACCACTCTCACGTCTTTCTTTCCTGGGCAGAGTTGCTAGCCCAGGAATGGTTCAGTTATCCTCTAGCTTTTTGCCTGGAGGCTATCAGTAATGGTTACTTGGAGAGCCTTCAGTTCTCAGTTGATTGAAAAACTCCCTCAGGTGCTCAGTGTAAGGGGATGTCCTGAGGGTGGGGCAGATGCTGGTTGTTAATGAGCCTCAATATGCATTTCAGTGGCCAACCTGGGTGGGGTTGAATCTCCGAGGGAGGGGCTACCGCCTCTCTCCAGAGCCCTGGGAAGGAGTAAAATGGCCACCGTCCTGTGTGGCCACACCTCAGCAAAAGCTCTGAGCGCCCTCCAAATTCTGAGTGTTCCCTCACAGTTCCAGTCCAGTCCGCCCTCCCTCTGCCAGAGCCCAAGGTAAGTGGCTATGGCTATTTTAGCGTCTGTCCCAGCTCTGTGCTCACAGCTAAGACCGCTGCTGTCTGTGGGCTCGCAGCCCCCCTCTCATGCCTCCGCAATCCTACCAGGATCGAGTCAGTGTCCCTGGTTATATGGTCCTTGCAAGCTGCTTTTCAGTTGCTTTTTCCCGATGATTTGTTTTTATTTTAGTTGAATTCCAGTTTGGTCCTGGGCGATGGTCTGTGTAGCTTCCATTCATTCCGCCACCATTTTTCAATATGTGTTTTAAATATTTAGGTTTTCTAATGTTAAGTGCCTGTGTATTTACAATTGTTATATCCTCTTGATGAATTGACCCCTTTATCATAATATACTGGCCTTCTTTGTCTTTTGTGACTGATTTTGACTGAAATCTATTTTATTTGATATAAGTATATCCACTCCTGCTCTGTTTGGTTTACCATTTGAATGGAATATCTTTTTCTGTCCCTTCACTTTCAGCCAATGTGTGTTCTTAAAGCTACAGTTAGTCTTTTATAAGTAGCATATTGCGGGATCTTTTTTATTTCATTCAGCCACTCTGTGTCTTTGATTGGAGAATTTAGTCCATTTACATTTAAAGTAATATTGAAAGGTAAGGACTTATAATTTCATTTTGTTTATTTTCTGAGTTTTTAGTTACTTTTCTTGTTTTCTTTTTCTCTTTTTCTTTTCTTTTTTTGGTAGTGGTATGCTTAAATTCCCCTTTCTTTATCTATTGTGTATATACTACAGGTTTTCTCTTTGTGGCTACCATGAGGCTAATATCTTGTAGATATAACAGTGTGTTTTAAGCTGATAGCAACTTATTTTCAATTGCACAGAAAAACTCTACATTTTACTTCCCCTCCCCCACATATATACTCTTTATCCTTTGTTTTCCTTCTCAAGATTGCTGAGGCTATTCAGGATCTCTTTTGGTTCCATATATATGTAGTTTTTTAAAAAAAAATATTGCTTTTGAGCTTTCATGGTAGAAATAAAAGTGTTTTACATACCAACATTATAATGTTTAGGGTATTCTGAATTAGACTATGTTTTTATCACCTATTGAAGGACATCTTGCTTGCTTCCAAGTTTTCACAACTATGAATGAAGTTTCTATAACCATTCATTTGCCAGCTTTTCTGTGGACATTAGCTCTCACCTTATTTGTTAAATACCAAGGAGTACAACCACAGGATCATATGGCAAGAGTGTGTTTGGTTTTGTAAGAATCTGCCTGACTGTCTTCCAAAATCGGTCTGCTAATTTTCATTCTCACCAGCAATGAATTAATTTCTAGTACTCTACATCCTCACCAGCATTGTCAATATTTTAGATTTTAGCCATTCTAATAGGTGTGTAGTGTTATCCCATTGTTTTAATTTGTATTTCCTGATGAAGTATGATGCATTGTGTGACGTCTGTGCGTCTTTTTTTGGCGAAGTGTCTGTTCAAGTATTTTTCCCCTTTTATAATTGGATTGTTTGCTTTCTTATTGAGTTTTAAGTTTTGGTATCATGTTTAAAACGTCATTGCCAGCCCTGGCCAGTTTGGCTCAGCAGTTGTGCGTCGGCCTGTGGACCAGAGAATCCTGGGTTCGGTTCCCGCTAGGGGCACATACCACAAAAAAAGAAAAAAGAAAAAGAAAAAAATATATATATGTAGTTATTTTTAATATTATTGCTTTTGAGCTTTCATAGTAGAAATAAAAGTGTTTTGCATACCAACATTATAATGTTTAGGGTATTCTGAAGTAGACTATGTTTTTATCACCTATTGAAGGACATCTTGGTTGCTTCCAGGTTTCCACAATTATGAATGAAGTTTCTATAACCATTCATTTGCCAGCTTTTCTGTAGACATTAGCTCTCACCTTATTTGTTAAATACCAAGGAGTACAACCACAGGATCATATGGCAAGAGTGTGTTTGGTTTTGTAAGAATCTGCCTGACTGTCTTCCAAAATCGGTCTGCTAATTTTCATTCTCACCAGCAATGAATTAATTTCTAGTACTCTAAATCCTCACCAGCATTGTCAATATTTTAGATTTTAGCCATTCTAATAGGTGTGTAGTGTTATCCCTTTGTTTTAATTTGCATTTCCTGATCAAGTATGATGCTTTGTGTGACATCTGTATGTCTTTTTTTGGTGAAGTGTCTGTTTAAGTTTAAGTATTTTTCCCCTTTTATAATTGGATTGTTTGCTTTCTTACTGAGTTTTAAGAATGCTTTGTATATTTTGGATGCTAGTTCTTTATCAGATATGTTATGCAAATATTTTCTCTCATTGTGTGATTTGTTTTTTTATTCTCTTAACAGTGTCTTTCATAGAGCAGAAGTTTCTCATTTTAATGAAGTTCAACTTACCAGTTTTTTCCATGGATTGTGTTTTGGTATCGTGTTTAAAAAGTCATTGCCAGCCCTGGCCAGTTTGGCTCAGCAGTTGAGCGTCGGCCTGCGGACCAGAGTATCCCGGGTTTGGTTCCCACTAGGGGCACGTACCAAAAAAAAAAAAAAAAAAAGTCATTGCCAAACTGAAGGTCACTTAGATTTTCTGTGTCCAGATAAATTTTTTTTTTGCATGTGGATGTCCAAATGTTCCAGTACTGTTTGTTGAAAATACTACCCTCATTTTTTTTAACTTTATGGTTTCCCCCTTCTAGTAGTGTGGACATTATTTACTGTGGCTGTTCTTATAATGGAGGTCCTAAAAAGAATAGAATCCTTACTTAACTGTCCTCCATGTTTGTAATCTCTTTGTGCTGCACTTTGGCTAATGTATTGTCTTGTTTTTCAGTTCACGAATTTTCTCTTTTTAAAAATTAATTTATTTTTGTTATAGATGTTTCTCCTTTTCCCCCCAGTGATTCCCTCCTCCCCCCTCCCCACCCTGTTCCCACCTTTGTTGTCCATGTCCATTGTTCAGTTCACTAATTTTCTCCTCACCTGTTTCTAATTTGCTTTTGAACCAATCCACTTTTCCATTTGGGTTATTGTGTTGTTCATTTCAAGTAGTTCCTTCTTTTTCAAATCAACAAGGTCACATTTTATCATTTCTGTTTCCTACAATCTTCTGTGATATTCAAAGTGTGGAACAATTGATACGGTATAGGCAATACATCAGAATGAATACCAGTTGTAAAAAAACCAAAAAACAAAACTGTGAACTGTATTTATATGTACTATTGATTATCAACCTACTTATATATATATTTTAACATAGCTTTTATTTCTATAATTTTGTAAACAAATGTTTCACAGCCAGTTTTCAATAATTCTGGTATCTGAATCTTGAGAACCTATTACTGCTATTTGTTGTTTCTGTTGATACTTAGAGTGCCTTGTTGCCTAGTGTGCTTGATTTTTAAAAATGTTTTCTACTCGTGATTTTTCAAAAAATATGTATGGAAATATTTTGAATCCTAAGATGAAATTGTCTTCCTCCACAGAGGATTTATACTTGCTTATTCTGATGTTTGGGAACAATGTAAACTAAATTTATAGCTTGAGGGCTTTTAGCCGCCCATATAATGTCCTTTGGGGCTGTAAATACATAAGAGTCTGTTAGTGTTACACCTCAGGGATTGGGTCTCTCCACCCTATTTTGCCATATTCTTCTCATAGCCAAGGTTAATTCTTTTGCAGTCCCCTGGGGATGTTGGTGGAGTGGGTTACTTCTGTTTTGTTGTTAGCCTTGATATCTGTTTCTCTGACCTACTGAGGTCCATTAAAACTAAAGTTAACATTTTCCTCGATTTACTAATGCCCACCAGGAAAAAAAAAGTGGCTTTAATTCTCTGCTTATTTCTCTGGAAACTCACTTTGTCTTAGATTTTACTTGGTAATTACTTTACATATATTGTCAGTTGCTTTTTGGAATTTAAAAAATGTTATCCAACATGTTTGGTTGTTTTCAGTAAGAGGGTTGGTCTGACATATATAAGGCACCCTATTTTCAGAAGCAGAAGTCACTGTCTCTTCAACATTTTAAGAAATGGTTCTTCAAAGACTTTTGTTAGATTCATGTCTTTTAATTATGAGTACAACTTAGCTATTGTAACTGTTATTAATATTAACAAAATACAGTAAGGTCTTCCTTAAAACTTTTATAAAAGAGACCCAATATTTTTTTTCCAGGCTAAAGAAGCCGTGGCAGAAGCTGAACAACTTGATCCTGGAAATACTTTCACTCAATTTTATCTATTCAAGATTGCAGTCTTAGAAGGCAACTCTGACAAAGGTACAAATGTTGTTTATGAGTTACATTTAACTGTTAACACAAAGAATACAAATAATCCTCTTTGATCATAATGGAAAAAAAACATTGTAAGAAGAATGAAGTTGTATATGTATATACACATATGCATATATATTTTCTAGCTTTCCTATACAAAGATAATACAACCATGCGAAAAAAGAAACTATGGAAGGTTACATAAGAACAGGGGCTACCTATTTAAGGAGCAGGATCTAGGCAGATCGTGGGAAAAAATGGGGGGAGGGAATCTTGTCGCAATATATTTTTTTGAACATCATGTTATTTGAACCAGTCTATTCAAAAATTATGTTTCAAAACTGTGGAGGCAGGGGAGATTATACTGCAAATATTTATCAGTTAATTATCTTTAGAGCCCTGGCACATTTGGCTCAGCAGTTGGAGCGTCAGTCCTCGGACTGAAGGGTCTCAAGTTTGTTGTTACTTCTCCTCTTTTGTTTCTGATTTTGTTTATTTGGTTTCTTTTTGTTTCTTGGTGAGTCTGGCTAAAGGTCCGTCGATCTTGTTTATCTTTTCAAAGAACCAACTTTTTGTTTCATTGATCTTTTTAATTGTATTTTAGTCTCTGTCGTTTATTTCTGCTCTGTCCTTTACTATTTCCTTCCTCCTACTAGTTCTGGGTTTTTCTTTTTGTTTACTTTCTAGTTCTTTAAGTTGTAGGGTTAGAAAGTCAGTTAGGGATTTTTCTTGTTTCTTGAGGTAGGCCTGTAGTGCTATGAACTTCTTGCCTCTCAGGACTGCTTTCGCTGCATCCCATAGATTTTGTGCTGTTGTGTGTTCATTTTCATTGGTTTCCAGGAAGTTTTCAATTTCTTCCTTGATCTCGTTAGTAACCCATTCATTGTTTAATAACATGCTGTTTAGCCTCCCCTCCAGCTTTCTTTCAATTATCCCATCCTTTTTCTTTTAATTAATTTTGTCATTATATTTAAAGTGTGTTTCTTGTAGGTAGCATGTAGTTGAAAGTTTTTCTTTAATGCTATCTATCTCTGCCTTTTAATTGGGTGATATAGACCATTATATTTAATGTGATTATTGATATGGTTTGATTTAAATTTAGCATCTTGTGATTTGTCTTATCTATTCTTTAATGCCACTTTCTTTTCTGTTTCCTTTTGGATGAATTGAATTTTTATGATTACATTTATATTATTTCGGCTTACTAGCTATATAACTCTTTATTCTGTTATTTTAATTGTTACTTAAGGTCTTTACTACATATATTTAACTTATCATAGTCTACCTTTAAGACATAATGGATACAATACTATTATTTATTTATTTTACTTCATTCTGTATTATATTCCATCTTAGGGATATACCAAAATGTATTTAGCCTATTTATTATTGATGGAATTTAGGTTGCTTCCATATTTTTCTTTTATAAATACTGCTGGGTGAACATATTTGTATGTTTCTGTTTACTTTTGCATACACACACACACACACACACACAATACATAGGATAAATTCACAGAGGTCATTTGATCAGTGGGGCATTTTTCTGACATTTAAGTCCTCTTTGACAGTTTAGCAATTTAGATGACTATAAAAATCAACTAAAATTTGAAAGACAGCAGTACTCGTAAAATGAGTTCCAAGGTCATTGTGATATAATTAACCATTGATAGCTATTATCTTTTTAAAATTTATCTCTATTGTTGAAAGTATTACAGATGTTCCTCCTTTTTCCCTCATTGGCACTCTCCTCCCCACTCCGGACCCCCCGCCTTCACTGCACTGTTGTCTGTGTCCATTGGTTGTGTATATATGATAGCTATTATCTTTGATAATAGTAGCTCATGGTTTGAACTGTTTTGTTGTTTTCAGCTCTGCAGACAATTGCCATTTTGGAGAATTTATTAACAACTGAAACAGCAGAAGGGAATGACCCAATTAGAGATACAATTTCACCTGCCACGCTTTTCGGTTTAGCTGCCCAGTTTGCTCTTGAGGTAACTCTTATATATCCATTTATGAAATGTTTGCCTCTTCTTCATTTTGAGAGACAATTAATGGAATCATCATTAGGTAGGTACAGGAAAGGCCTGCCTTTACTATTTTGCCTCATATTTTCACATCAAGCTTGGTTGCAGAGTTGCTTTATTTCTCTTCGTTTCTTTATAATGTGAGGTAAATGAAGCAAAGTGAGGTAACAGATTTGTGCTTGAAACTACAGAAAAGATAAATATAACAAAACATTAATTTTTAAAAGAAACACCAGATTTAAAATGCTATGCCATGCAAACAAACACAGTAGTTACCTATTCAGAAACTTATCTTTCTCATCAATTTGAAAAACAGAAACAGTTTAAATCCCTGTGGACCTTTTCAGTTCTTCACCACAAAACAATTTTAGCTCAGAAGTAATAAATATTTGCACCCGTTTTTTACGTACACGATTCTGGTCTTAGTATAATACATGGGATTAGGAAAAGCATTGTAGCAACTGTGGAGCTCTTAGACTTGGTGATAAACTAGATTTGATTACTGGCTCTACCACTTAACTGCTTATCTTCTTTGAGTCTTAATTTTATTGTTTGTAAAATAAAGGTAATATCTACCTACAGAATTGTGGAAGTTAACTGAGAAGGTAGCTGACAATGTGATTTAAAGCTTGATCTACAAGTATAGTGTTTCTGTTCGTATTAATGTATGTACTACTTGGCCATAGCAGTTGTCTCTTCTGCTTGACCTCATATTACTCCACTATGTCATCCTCATATGTCTGATGGTGGGGGAAACGAGAAGGTATGCTAAGACTGCAAAATGAAGCAGGCAGTTTCATAGAATATAAAAAAAATTATTATAGGGTAATTTACTCACAGGAGGATTGGGTTAGAGTAGAGCAGATAACCCAGTAATTCTGTGCAGATTATTCTCCACTACCAGAATGTTTGTTTCCTCGAACTTTCATGGTTTGGGGGGAAAAGAGCAACCAGCAAAGGAGAAAATAAAGATTATGTGGTGTCCTGGAAGCCAAATGTGTTTCAAGGAGGAAAAGAGTGATCAACTATGTTGAATGTTACTGATAGGTCAAATACGAGAGCTGAAAATTGACCACTGAAATGTACACTATGGAGGTCATTGGTGAATTGGAGAAGAACAATTTTGATAGAGCAGTAGGGCAAAAGCCTGTTTGGAGTAGGCTCAAGAGAGAAATTGAAAGAAAGGAATTGGGATGCAATAAGTGTAGACAACTCTTTAGAGGAGTTGCTACAAAGGGAATAAAAGAAATTAGGCAGTAGTTGGTGAGAGAAGTATGTATGATGAAGAGGTTTGTTTGTTTGTTTGTTTGAGATAGGATGAATGAGGATGTTTATATGCTGATGAGAATGTCCCAGGAAGAGAACAAAAAGTTGACAAGGGGGGAGAGAAATAGGAGAATTGTTAGAGCGATGTCCTTAAACTGACAAGAGGTGGTGGACACAAGTGTATAAGTTTAGGGATTGGCTTTAGGAAGAAACATGGATAATTCATCTATGAAAGCAACTGAGAGGGCAGAGTATGTGGTATGGTTCCTGGGGTGTGAGTAGATGTGGTAGTAGGAATCTGGAAGTTCTCTTCCTGACCTCTTCAGTTTTCTCAGTGAAGTAGGAACAAGGTAATCACTGGAGAATGAGAATGGGAAAGGAGGTGTTGAGGGTAAAGAAGAGAGGATAAGGTGTAAGCTAATCATCCAGAAAAGCAAGAAATTGGATGACAATGATAGTGAGGTATGGGTTGCCTGGTAGCAGTAAGGGTCATTTGATGAAGTTTTAAAGGAAAGCAAATAGTTGTATGGGTTTTTATCTAGCAACTTCCTGCAGCATGGATGCACGTACAATAGTCAGTAGAAAGTTGGATATAACCAGGCTTGTGGTTTTGCCAGAAGAATACAGTGAAGCAAAAGAGGGGCAGGAAAAGCAAGGAATGAGGAAGTGGTTATAATTAATCCCCATGGAATTTGAACCTAGGCACGGATGAGGACCTCAAGGGAACAAGGGACCATGAAAAAATTATTAACATCAATGGATTAGAGGTCTTAGTGCAGTTGAATGATTGCTGGAGAATAAAGAGGTGAATTAGAGAGGTAGGAGATGGTGGCTCTGGAACAGAGCAGGGTGAAGAACTAAGGTGAGGGAATGAGGGAGGCACTCAAAGAAGCACTCATTCCCAGGGTTGTGCAAGTGCAGAGTTGGTCCTTACACCCTTACATGACCATAAAAGTGGATGCCTCCTTAAATTTTTCACCCTAGGAGCCTCATTTACACTACCAGGCTCATCCTAGTCCCAGCCCTGACTGAGAACATGGAAGAGTTATAATCATTAGCAATGACAGGGTCCAGTGAATAACTGTGCTAGTGAATGGCTAAGGTAATTGGCAGAGTGAAACTTAAAGAAACAAGAGGCTAAGAAATTATAAGTATCGCTTATCTTTATATTGAAAATGCCAAAAATTAAGACAGGGATAGCTTTTAGAGAAAATAACTGTGAGCAGTATATAAATCATTAAGGAATGAGAGGAATTAGCCTGAGAGCTGGTAGATCACCACAACAATGAAGGATGTAGGTTATATAATCTGATGACAGGAAATTCAAAACTGAGGATTTTAAGGAGAAAGAAGGGAAAATGATTTTAAAGCAGCAATGAAGAACAAAAACGATGCCTATTCCTCCTCCAGGTCTAGGGGTAGAAAGGAGATGAGCGAAAAACAGCCACTCCCTAGAGACAGTATTCTTGATGAAACCTAGATTTCCACTAGAGGAAGAATGAGGAGGGAACTTTCAGGGAAGGCATTTCTCATAGAGATCTTGCTGATAATGGGCTGAATTTCAGAGCGCATGGAAGGGTTGAAGGAATTGGGGAGAAATGGGAAAAGAATGCAAAATATGGGATTTACAGAGCCTTATGGAGATTAGGGTACTAAAATTAAGCATGACCTGAGAGTTTGTCGTTCTTTGGTTAATGTTCATCAATAGGAATAAAGAGCACAGTAAGATCAGTCCTAGTGGATTCAAGGTTGGCAAGGCTATTAGTGTTTCTCCATAGGGAGGAGGGGTGGGTTTCTGAGGCCTATTAACCTGTTCTGTTTTTGTCAGTGAGTTGTATCTTCCTTCTGTCACCTTGCAGTAGCTCTTCTGAGAATACAAAATGAAAATGTTTAGTTTTCTTTTTTCTTGTCCTTAATGGACAGGAATATAGACATTTTGTAAATATCACTTTGAGATGTAATTTAACATATTATATTTGTCCTTTTTAGAATGGACAGCAACTTGCTGGAGAAAAAGCTTTGGAATATTTGGCTAAATATTCAGAAGACACAGAACAAATCATTACTGCTTTAAAGTAAGTAATTCATATCCTATGGATAGGAAAGGATTTCCTCTGTCAATCTTACTCTTGGTTGGAAAGGATTTCCTCTGTCAATCTTACTCTTGGTCTATAAACTGCTGAAATAGTGCTGATGGGATCAGGCTGATTCAGTGCCTACTATACAACTGTTTTATATTTAAATTTTTTCCAGCTTTATTGAGGTATAATTGACAAATAACATCGTGTAAGTTTAAGGTGTACAACCTTATGATTTGATACATGTATATATTGGGCAATGGTTAGCACAATAAAGTTAACACATTCATCACCTCACAAAATTACAATTTGTGTGTGTGTTTGTGGTGAGAACATTTAAGATTTACTCTCTTGGCAACTTTCAAGTATATACTACAGTATTGTTAACTATAGTCACTATGCCGTACATTAGCTCTCCAGAACTTATTCATCTTATAAGTGGAAGTTTGTGCCCTTTGACCAACATCTCCCCATTTCCTCCATCAGCCCCTGGCAACCACGATTATGCTTAGTTTCTAATTATTTGGTGTTTTTTTTAAAGATCCCTCATGTAAGTGAGATAATGCAGTATTTATCTTTCTCTGTCAGACTGATTTTACTTAGTACAGTACCCTCAAGGCCCATCCATATTGTTGAAAAAGGCAGGAATTCCTTATTTTATATGGCTGAATAATATTTCATTGTGAAATGTGTGTCCATACCACATTTTCTTTATCTGTTCGTCCAGATTCTTAGATTGTTTTCATATATTGACTATTGTGAATAATGCACAGTGGACATGGGAGTGCAGCTGTCTCTTTGAGGTAGTGGTTTTCTTTCTTTTGGATATATACCCAGAAGTGGGACTGCTGTATCATGTGGTAGTAATATTTTTAATTTTTGAGGAACCTCCTTAACTGTTTTCCATAATAGCTGTACTAATTTATAATCCCACTAATAGTACGCAAGGGTTCCCTTTTCTCCACAGTCCCACAAACATTTGTTATCTCTTGTTGACGATCGCCATTCTAACAGGTATGGGGTGATAGCTCACTGTGAGGTGATATCTCACTGTGGTTTTGATTTGCATTTCCCTGATTATTAGTGATGTTGAGCATCTTGTCATGTACCTGTTGGCCATCTGTATGTCTTCTTTGGAAAAAATGTTTATTCATGTCCTTTGCCCATTTTTAAATTAGATTGGTTGGGTTTTTTGTTTGTTTTGGTGTTGAGTCATATGAGTTTCTTAATATATTTTGAACATTAACTCCTTACAAGGTACATGGTTTGAAAATATTTTCTCCCATTCTGTAGGTTGCCATTTCATTTTGTTGATAGTTTTTTTTTGTTTTTTGCTGTACAGAAGCTTTTTAGTTTGATATAGTCCCACTTACTTATTTTTGCTTTTGTTGTTTATGCTTTGGGTGTCATATCCAAAAAAATCATTGTCAAAGAGCTCTTTCCATGTGTCTTTTTCTAGGAGTTTTGTGGTTTCAGGTCTTATATTTAAGTCTTTAATTCATTTCAAGTTAATTTTTTGGGAATAATAGAAGATATAGGGTTCAGTTTCATTCTTTTGCACATGAATACTCAGTTTTCCCAGCACCATTTATTGAAAAAAAACTGTCTTTCCTCTATTGAGTATTCTTGGCTCCCTTGTCCAATGTTAGTTCATTATATATACATGGGCTTATTTCTGGGCTATGTTATTACATTGTTCTATATGATCTTTTATGCCAGTACAATACTGTTTTGATTACTATAGCTTTGTAGTATAATTTGAAGCCAGGATGTGCGACCCCTTTAGCTTTGCTCTTTCTCATGATTGCTTTAGCTATTTCGGGGTCTTCTGTGGTTCCATACAAATTTTAGGATTTGTTTTGTATTTCTGTGAAAAAATGCCATTGGAAATTTGGTGGGGATGCTTAAATTTAAAAAATAAAAAAGGTATCATTTGAACCTGATATTCCCCCTTCTCTCTTTTTATGATAGAAAAGGGTTTATCAAAAGGGAACTTTTACATACAATAGTGAGGCAGAGGAAAGTGAGGTTAGGACATGATCACTAATAATGTGACTGAGAATATGCCAATGGGAAAATTTGGAAACCCAGGGGATTCCATAATGGTTCTCCTGTTGGTCAACTCTACTTGAGGCCACAATTCCAAAGGGAAATGGAATCACAGAAATAAAAGTATCTAAAGGAGTATTAATATATTTGCATGCCTTCAGTCAGATAAATATCTGAAATCATTCAGGATAGATGGTATTTAAAAAGATTTTTAAGGTTGCCATGGCCAGTTTTTCTCAGTGGTTAGAGCATTGGTCCATAGAACAAATAGTAGTGGGTTCTAGTCCCAGTCAGGAACACGTATCTTGGTTGCAGGTTCGTTCCCCAGCCCTGGTCAGGGTCGTGCAGGAGGCAGTCAATGGCTGTATCTCTCACACATCGATATTTCTCTCCCACCCTTCTACCCTCCCTATCTAAAAATCCATGGAAAAATATCCTTGGATAAGGATTAAAAAACAAACAGCAGCAACAACAAAAAAGATTTTTAGGGTTTTTACACACCGACCTTATTTTGTCAGCTTGTCATTATGCTGCCAGATCCCTTTAAAGAATAGTCATTCTAGTTATGTGGAACTCAAGGGCCAGTTCCAGGTTCCTTTTTAGGAAGAAAAATATAAAGACTTGTACACCGTACTTAATGTCCTAGCAGGTGATTTGGGGCAATTCTGTCAACTGTGGAACTATTTAAGAATTTGTCATAGCATCACTTATGTTTTTAAATGATTTTATTTAAATCACTCTTTCAAAATTACAAATTGGTATGTTTTCATTACAACCATTAAAACAATACAAAGATCTATAAATAAAAAGAGAAGTAATCTCCTCCGTACCCTCTCTTTTCTCACTTCTGCCTCCTGGGGTAATCAGTGTTAATAACTTGGTGTATATTCTTTCACATGTTTATATTATTTTATCACACAGGTGTTTGTTTCGTCTTCTTGTTCCAAAAGTTTCTGAAATGCCAGAATCTGAAAACAAGTAAGTTATTTCAGCAGAAATGATGTATTCACCATTAGAAAAATTATAGTAGCTTTTAATAAAAACCTAATTTTGAGAGATGTATAGTACAGTGGGTAACATCAATCTAGGCTCTGGGGCCAGTCTTCCTAGCTTTATATCCTGGCTCTGCTGCTTGCTAGATGTATGACTTGGGCTTCTGTTTTCCCATCTGTACAATGGGAATGATAATAATACCTACTTTATGGAGTTGCTGTGAAGACTGGATGAGTAAATATGTGTAAAACACTCAGAAGAAGATTGCCAGGCACTCACCACGCCCTCAACTATGTTAGCTATGATTTCATTATGATATTTGATCTGTTTCCTTCTTTCTTAACAGGATACTTAAATATAGACATATCCCTTACTTTCCCACAGGAAGATTTAACCTGATTGGCTAGTTGATTCTGATTCTGTATCAGCTCAGCTGGGACTATTCAAACTCAGCTGGGACTTGATGGAAGAATTGGGTTACCAGTTTTTTTCATTTACAAAATGCACTATCTCCTAATGATTTAAAAGAAAACTCTATTCAAGGCCTTAATTAGGGATACCTTTCAGAGATATATTGCCATCTCCACATTCTCTACTCATACAAAACACTTTTTTTTTGTGTATCTGTACTTCACTTTTGCTTTATATATTTGAACCCAGAGATAATATATTTTTTCAGCTAAATTGTTTGGGAAATAAATGTGACTGAGGTGATACTGGATTGATGACAACTTTTTGTCATAATACAAATTTTACCCAAGCATATGTAAGTTTCGCCTCTTTACAGGCTCTATGAATCCATTAGAAGGCAACCCAAACTACAAAAATATTGAGACAATTAAAAATTGAATAATGACCAAATATTTGATGCTCTTAAGAAATGATTACTTTTAAGGCTTGTAATGGCAGTATGGTTATGTTTCTTAAAATAATCCTTGTCTTTTATTTTATTTAGTTATTTATTTGGTACACGCCCATAGTGGGAACTGAACCCAGGACTCTCTGGTCCGTAGGCTGGCGCTCCAACCACTGAGCCAAACCGGCCAGGGCAAATCCTTGTCTTTTAGAGACACATCCTAAAATATTTATTGATGCAATGATACGATGTCTGAAATTTGCTTCAAAATAATATGGTAGGGAAAGGAGTTGGTGGAGGGTATCATTGAATTAAGGTTGATGATGAATTAGTAATTATTGAAGCTGAGTAATGGGTACATGGAGATTCACTTATCTGTTAACATATGAACATCTTTGAAATTTTCCACAATAACACAGCTGTCAGGAGAGGGGTTGGGGACCTGGGTGAAAAAGGTGTAGAGATTAAGAAAAAAACACATACACAAGTCATAGATATACAGACAATAGTATGGTGATTGCCAGAGAGGGAAAGGGGGTGAGGGGAGGTAGAAGAGGGTAAACGGGGGATAAATGGTAATGGGAGGAGACTTGTATATTGTATTGGGGTGGAGAACACACAATACAATATACAGATGATGTATTATAAAATGGTATATCTGAAACCTATATAATTTTATTAAACAACATCACCCCAATAAATTCAATTAAAAAGTTAAAAAATAAAAAAAGGAAACGGAGAGACTAAACCTTGATAGTAGATTGTAAGCGTTCCTTTGCAGCTAGGGCTATTTGTATTTATCTTGGTATCTCCGGAACCTCAGATAGTATCTGACATATAATAGCCACTTGATTTATTTAAATGACTGAATGTCTGTTCTTTAAAAGAAGACCTTTGCCCTAGCCAGTTTGGCTTAGCGGTTAGAGTTTCTGCCCGTGGACCCAAGGGTCTCAGGTTCGATTCCCGGTCAAGGGCTGCATGTACCTGGGTTGCAAGTTCGATCCCCAGCCCTGGTCGGGGTCCTGCAGGAGGCAACCAGTCGACGTGTGTCTCTCTTGCATTGATGTTTCTCTCTCTCTTTCTCTCTTTCTCTCTCCCTTCCTTTCACTCTATCTAAAAAAATTAATGGAAAAATATCCTCAGGTGAGGATTAACCCCCAAAAAGGAAGAAGAAGATGTTTATCACTAGATTTACAGGTGATTCATAGCCCATGTAATTGTGACATACAGTCAAACTCCACTCATTAAAACCAATTTGGAGATGGGGGAAAAGGAAAGGAGTCCTGTTTGAATTAGTAATAAACTTAGATTACGAAATACTTTATACCCTTATTGTTTTCAGGTAAATATAGTAGTAAAGAACATTTTCTAGCAGTGTTTTCTGATAGAGGTCAAGACCTGATTTAACAAATTGATTATACTAACTTTTTTTTTTTTAAGCCTAATTCAATGAAAAGAGAGAATTGAGTTCTAGTTTCAGCTATTTTACTAACTTCTGCTTTACCTTGGGCAATAACAACTTATTTAATTTCTCTAAGCTTTATTTTCTTCATCTGTTTAAATTTAAAAAGCTGGATTGGATAATTACTAAAGTTTCATCCTCCTCTGAAATCCTATGGTTTTTTATTTTAATTAATGATATCTACTTAAGTATTAACAAATCGGTGTGCTAAAATTTTTTAAGCACTTTGTTTCTTAAATAAACCATGCACCTCCTTTTCATATCCTTATATATATTTGTGTTATTTATTTGCATTAATGGACCCTTCCTAGATGATTTTATGTAGTCACTGAATTAAATAGGGAAGACGGTAACTTTAGGTCAGCTTAAATTCAAATTAATAAAATTTACTGTAAGAAGTTATTTTATATAAATCAGAATTCTAAGTTTTCCCTGAAAAAACTGCTAATTTCTTGAAGCACAGTATTTATTATATAGTACTAGACCCTCTCCTGATAAAGCCAGTCTTACAGTCCACTCTACCCTACTTCCTGTAACCTTCCTTAGTTGAGTTTGCCAGTACTTCCATATTTATTCCTTTAAGTGAAATGGAATATTGTTCTCTATTAAAATTTACATACCCCTTAAAGGAACTTGACAAAGGGTCAAGAGGCCTAGGTGGTAGTCTTGACATTGTCATTTTTATGAACTTGAACACATCATCCCCCCATCTCTTGATCTGTTTTCTCTGGACGGGATGCATGTTTTTTAAACTATACTCCTCAGAACCCTGGAAATTCTGTGGCACTGACCCAGTGACTTTTAGGAAGGTGAGGCTCTAGGCCCGCTTTGATCTTTTCTTGTATATTAGATTTTTATAAAATTGTATTTGAAACAAGAGTTTTAATTTTTCCTCTTCAAAAAAAATAAAAAAGAACTTGAAGATGAAGATCACTACCTACTCTCAAATTCTGTAGCCCTGTAATATAAAACCTTATCAGTCATTGAAATCCTTTGTTGAGAGTAGGTGTAGAAGAGGAAGAGAGAAACAATATGTGGGCCCTGGGGATGAGGGACAGGATCCTACAGTGGGGGAAATAGTGTTGAAATGACATGTTGGAGCCATGAACAAACTTCACAATTTTGCAGTTTTGTACAGCTTTCAGGCACAAATAGGGTCTCATGGTGGTAAAGCTTTTCTATAGTAAAGCTTTGAAACAGTAGGCAAATAATCTTTTTTCTTTTATTTTATAGAAAGAAAGAAACGGATAGACTTTTGGTTTGCTTGAATAGAGGTAAGTATTTCTTTGATCATTTTTAGGCCTTCATCTTGCCTCTATCCTCTATTAAATTCTCCTAATACATTGAGCTCACTGACTCAAACTTCATGCTTTTGTGAACGTTTGTTGCAGCAGTCAACCTTGGTTTCTTTATTCACAAGCCCAGAGAAGTTTGGCATCCCTAGTATTCATATACAAATGAGATTTCAGTTCTGTTCCTGTTCAATTTGTTTTAAAAACATTCTCTCCCTCTCTCTCCCTTCCTCCCTTCTATCCTGAATTGAACAGGTGAAGAAGGATCAAGACAAAAAACAAAAATGTTCTGAACCCTGCTAGTTTTCATGCCCTCTAAAACAAATTCAGATCATTTACTGTTATTTTGAAGCTACCCAAGTCTGTGCCACCTCCCTATCTAATAATTTCTCTCTGTCCCCTTCATTCAAGCTAACCTCCTAGCAACATCTCATTCCTGTCCCAACTTCATGCTTTCAGATATGATGTTTCCCTTTTGCCTGACAGGTCTTCCCATTTATATTGTTCACATACCTATTCCCTTATGTCCAATGCACACCAGAAACTCCACATCTTAGAAACTCGATTCTATTTATTGCGGTAGTTCAATTTTATACCTCAAATACCTGTCAACAAGGTGTGAAATGCAGCAAAGTGGTGTAGAAACCAAAGCTTTTCGAAAGAGAATAACTTTGCTGGTTGGCATCCTTATCCCTCAGAAGGGCATGTGGATATGTAGTAAATGCTTTCTGGTGACATCATGTTCTTGTTCTGCAATGTGCTTGCTGTGGGAGCTTAGTAAGTATGCCAGCCCCTTGATACTCTTCCAATTCTCAATCTCCATTTCAGTCTTTTTAATGATTGCTCCGATTCTTTTATTTCCTTACATGTAAATCATATCTTTCTACCTCAGGTGGTAAATGATTGCTTTAATTAAAATTATAAATCTCTCCAAAGGCTTGTTTGTTCCTCAAAGTTTTAGTTAACAGCGGCTTGGACCTTGTCAGTGCTTTTTGTCATTTTAATTACTTTTGGCATACCCGTGCGCACACACGCACACAACTTTCCTAAATTCAAACTCATTGTTCGTCTGTTTTGAAATCAGGATTAACAACTTTGATAAAGTAAAAGACCTTAATATAAAATTTTCCTGTTCGATGCAGTACACCTGAAATTTTCTCAGACTTTGTTTGGAAAAGACTCGACTTCAGCCTCATGGATTAATGAAGCTCATTGGTTTAGAAAAATAGGTAAAAGAAAATTCTATGGTTATGGGAAACATTGTGGGGTGGGAGAATCAACAGATGTGGATTCAAATGTTTGCTCTTTCATTTGTATCTGTGGGTACAAGGGTAACTTGCTTAATCTAAGGTTAATTATTTACAAAATGAGAACAATTATATATATTTTGTAGGATTAGTAAGGGTTGTAAATGAAACATTGTACCTGGGACATATAGGTACTCAATAAATATTCATTTTCTTCCTTTTCTGTAAAAATGGGTCTAAAATAAAATGATGAATTATAACTGCATATCCCCAAGGCTATGACCCTAAACTTGGTCTAGAATACACAGTTTTTCTCTAAAATGATTCATCAAAATAAACTACATGCAACAATATGGATGAATCTCACAAACATAATATTGAGCAAAAGAAACCAGACATTGAGTACATATTGTATGAGTCCATTAATATATGGTAAAAAAACAAAAAAAAAACAAAACAACAACAACAAAAAACAGGCAAAATAAATTGATGATGTTAGAATTCAGGATAGTGGTTACTATCCTGAGGGGTTTGGACTTTGTAGAGGATTGGTGGGGTGGCTTCTGGGTTTCTGGCAATGATCCAGATCATTCTTTATTTATATTGGTTATGTGAATATATATTTCCTTTGTGAAAATTCATTAAGCTGTACAATTATTAATGTTGTGGATGCAGTTACTACGGTAATAAGTAAACAACGATTAAGCAGCAATATCACAAAGTAGACTGATTCTACATGGACCTTTTTCTGCTTTATGGGCTTTACTGGAGCTCTAATCTAGAAGAAAGGGGAATAAATACAGCAATCTGGCTTCTAAGAAACTTATGTAGATAATGGAAAATAACAAACATTTAAGCTATAGAAAGGTTTAATGACCTTGATATTTTGAAAGTTTGAAAAGTTACTTTCCAGTACTACTTTTATTGAATTTTAATTTTGATATTCCAAGGTGAAGATCATGCTGAATGTTGCCTAATGGGGCTTCCACTGCTCTGTGGAAGATGTAAATCTTTCCAGCAGTTTTCTTCAACCCTTGATTCTAGCATACCATGTTCTTTGCTAAATTCTAAATGTTTTTTAACCAATGCCAATTGGTGAGCTCCTTTGTGATCCTCATTTTTTGATGGATTTGTGCTAAGAATTTATTGTATATCCCATTTTTTTTTCTTCACTTGAGGATACTTTTTATTTATATTAGGTAGAGTGGGGGAGGGGGAGAGAGAAAAAGAAACATCGTTGTGATAGAGCCACATCCACTGGTTGCCTCCCGCAGGACCCAACCAGGGCCGGGGACAAACAGCAACCTAGGTACGTGCCCTTGACCGGAATTGAACCCACAACTCATTGGTCTGTGGGCCGACACTCTAACCACTGAGCAAAACCCTGGCCAAAGCTCCCCAATTTTTTTTTTTTTTTTTTTATCCTCACCCGAGGACATTTTTCCATTTTTTGCACAGATAGAGTGGGAGGGAGAGAGAGAGAGAGAAACATCGACGTGAAAGGGACACATCGAGTGGCTGCCACCCGCACAACCCAACCAGGGCCGGGGACAAACTGCAACCGAGGTACATGCCCTTAGCGGGAACCGAACCCGGGTCTCTCCGGACCGCAGGCCGACGCTCTAACCGCTGAACCAATCCGGCCAGGGCCAAAGCTCCCCAATTTTTTAAAAAAAATCAGCACTACCTTTATTGGTCATTGACTTAGAATTGAAATCTCTAATTTACCTGGAAAAAAACTAAAGTTAGCTGTTTTAACCCCGAGAAGCCCCTCATTAGTATATTAATATTAAAAATGTATGTATAGAGATTATGGTACATATTAAATAGTAGATTTTCATAACTGTATTATCTCATGTTAACTTTCAGCTTGGAACTTGGCTGTGCAATCTCACAGAGAGCCAGTGACAATGAGAGAGTTTTTCATTCTTTCTTATAAGGTATGTCTCTTCTAATAAATATCTCATGTACATACTACAGCAAGGATATCAGCATGGCTAAATACAGGGTGGGATTGGATTTTAATGTAGGAACTTTTAATATGTGTTTAAGCAGGAAGGACCTAAGGAAAATTTGATCCCTATAGGGTATAATGTGATAACATGAAGCAGGTCTCCCCATACCAAAATATCACAACCATCATAGAGCCTAAAGTTCTACCATTAGAAAGTTACTTCTTTGACTTTGAAGAAATTTCACTGTTCGAGAGACTTATCTTGAAATATAACTATCTTTAGAAGGGGAATCCTCTAAGAAGTTGTAAATTATCAAAACATTAGGAAGGTTTATGGGTATAAGTCTATAGGAATATAGAATAGATGTCTGGGGACAACAAGAGATAAAAAGGATACTAAGAAGCTTGGGCCTACTTTATAATTTGTCCTAGAGTGGGTTCTGTGTGTAAAGATTTGTGAGCTGTTTTGCAATTATAAACATGTTTAAATAGTTGTTAACCTCTAAGTTAAAGGTTAAATACCAGAAAGAAAGACAAATATTGATGAAAGAATGCAAGGAGAAGTGCTAGAGAATATTGTTCATACACATCTGAGAGTATACAGTTTGATATATTGAGATAGATTAAATGGTAAGAGTTTTAAAACTGGAAAGAACTCTAGAGATAATCTGGTACAACTCCCTGGTCTTATATATGAGTCACCTGAGACCTGGAGATATTGGGTGTCTTAAAATGCTATCAGTTCAGTGGACGGTGGTGATTATTGCCACTAAACATTTGGGAAGACTAAGAAATAGTTTTAGGCTCTTGCATCTCGGCCACCGACATGCCATCTAGACTAAGGAAGACCCGGGAACTTCGGGGACACGTGAGCCACGGCCTCGGCCGCATCAGCAAGCCCAGGAAGCACCCGGGAGGCCGAGGTAATGCTGGTGGCTTCATCATCACAGGATCCACTTCAACAAATGTCACCCTAGTTACTTTGGAAAAGTGGGTATGAGACATTTCCACTTAAAGAGGAACCTGAGTTTCTGCCTAACTGTCAACCTTGATAAATTGTGGACCTTGGTCAGTGAACAGACACGGGTTAGTGCTGCCAAAAACAAGACTGGAGTGGCTCCTATCATTGATGCGGTGCGATCGGGCTACTACAGAGTTCTGGGGAAGAAAGCTCCCAAAGCAGCCAGTCTTTGGGAAGGCCAAATTCTTCAGCAGAAGAGCTGAGGAGATTAAGGGTGTTGGTGGGGCTTGTGTCCTGGTAGCTTGAAGCCACATGGAGGGAAGTTCCCAAAAGCAGTGTGTAAATTCTTCAGCAGAAGAGCTGAGAGGAATATTAAGGGTATTGGCAAGGCTGAAAACCTGAGAAGATTGATGGTGTTGGAGTCACATGAGGGGAGTTCATTAAAATGTCCACAAGTGAAAAAAAAAAAAAGTCTTTGGCCCGGCCGGTGTGGCTCACTAGTTGAGCGTCGACCTGTGCACCAAGAAATAGTCTTTGGAAGTTTAGGTATAATTATAATAATTAAATAAATTACTTCTAGTTTTGACATTTGCTATAGCTCTAGTAGAATTCCAGGTTAAAATCCCAAGTGGTCTAGAGTTTTATTTTAATACAAAGCAGGCAGTTTTTTTCCTAAAGCTAGAGGACAAGGTTTAATGATGAGGTTATGTCTAATGCCTGTCAAGATTTGGCATTGTCTCTTTCAACCATGACAATATATGGACTAATTTCAGCTCTCTTCAATGCAAAAGGGAAATGTATTTGCCAGGGGGGAAATCACTTAGAAACTACAACATAAACCAAGAAGTAGATCACTCGATAGAAATACAGGGCTAAGTGACAGTACTTGTCATTGGTAAAGATAGGAAAATTGTGAAGAAATGAAGCATTTTATCTCTAGAAAGGCACTTAAAAACAATGGAAAGTAATATAAAATTGAAGCCATAAATTGATGTTAGAGTCTATATTATTCTTAAGGTAAGATGTGCTCTTCCAGCTGAATTTTCTCATTCAGACAGAATATTGCTGATTTTCATTCTGATTGTTTGTGTTCACCTGGCAGAACTCTAACTATTCACTGATGTTCTGGTTATTTCTTATCAGATGTCCCAGTTTTGTCCTTCTGATCAAGCAATTCTGATTGCACAGAAAACATGTTTGCTGATGGCAGCTTCAGTTGATCTGCAGCAAGGGAAAAAAGCCGCAACTCCTTCTGAACAGGTAATGTGCGACCTTCTCCTAAAACACAGGAGTTCAGTGTGCTATTTGGTATATTTGTCTTCCCTGATTCAGTTCTTTTTGATTCTCTTTAAAGAATTCTTTCCACTCTTCCAGTAGCATCTTGATTTTAAAGGTTTATAATGGCGAATTCCTTCCTAAGGAAAGGTTACCTTTGGCTTGGCCTCGTCTTTTAAAAAGATTGAATGTCTCTTCTTTGAAAATGCCCCTTCCAGTGGACAGCTCTTTCCGAATCTGTGTTTAAATATTCTTTATCTTCATCATTGCCTTGTCATCATATGTGGTCCATAGGAGTTTTTTCTCTCTTATTTTCTTTCACATATTTTCTAAGGAAGAACTCCTCTACTTCCACAGCTTTGATAAGCCATCTGAAATTATTTATGTGGCTTGTTGTTCTTCACTCAAGTGCATTTGCTTTCTTTGGTCCACATCCTTAAATCTATCATTAACTCAGTTTTAACAAGAAGATGGAATTCCTACCTTTGCCTGAGTTACCAATTTGTTTTTCTCTTACCCAGACCAAAAAAAAAAAACACCTTCCCAGTTTCCCATACTTGCCAGCTTCTTTTCTTTCCAGTTGATATAAATCCTTCTTGATGGTTTTTCTCTTTGGTTAATCTCTCTTTTCATTTGATTCTTTAGATCTGGAACAAACTCTCACAGATCTCTGCTGACGTATTTTCCTTCCTTTCTCTGCCCTTGTTGAGGACAACTCAAAACACACTTGAGTACCAAGCACTCTGCTAAGTACTGGAAATAAAGAAGACAAAGTTCTTATTTTTGGAGAGTAAAACGCCCTCTTTTTAGAAACTTTTCCATTGTAAAAGAAGATGAGCTCTGGCTGGTTTGGCTCAGCAGTTAGAGCATCGGCCCTTGGACTGAAGGGTCACGGGTTTGATTCCTGGTCAAGGGCATGTGTGCCTGGGTTGCAGACTCAATCCCCAGCCCTGATCAGGATTGTGCAGTAGGCAACCAATAGATGTGTCTCTCTCACATCCATGTTTCTCTCTCCCTCCCTCCCTACCTTCCACTCTATCTAAAAATCAATGGAAAAGTGTCCTTGGGTGAGGATTAACAACAACAACAAAAAAAAAGATGAGAAAAGAATCTATGTACCCTAGAGCAAAATAAAAAAACAACCATTTTGCTTTTTAGCAAGTAAGGGCAAATGTAATTTTATTCTCAATAGGATTTTTATGCTTTACTAAAAAATAGTAACGACATCTTGTTTTTACATAGTGCTTTTAACTTTCTGAAAGTTTTCCTTTTAAGTTGGTAGTCCTGACTTTGTTGAATTTTGTATCTCAGTGAAAGGAGATCAAACTGACGTGAGGGAAATGTCACACGCTCTTTACAGTTCTTAAGTATTTTGTTTGTTTCTAACAACTGTTCTCTTTTTCTGTTCTTTCTCTGGTACATCCTTATGTTTCTTAAGAACTCTCTTAGTAACCCTTATATCATTTTCTTTGCCTTTGAAAAGATATCTATTTAGGTAACTGAACAAGCACTTCTCTGCCTGTCACTGTCTCAGTTTGGTCCCTGTGAATGCTGCTCTGTCTCTCTAATGAGGACTTGTTGATTCTACTAAATACATCTGTTCCTTGTTCTGGTAATCCTCATAAATTGGAGGATTCCAAATAAATAGATGATGAAGGACAATAGCTACCCTGCATAATCTTATCACCATTGTCTGTATTCTCCTGAGTATGAGTTAGGGGGAAGTGAAGGGTGCTTTAAATATATAGTAATTGTAATTTATCAAAGAAACACATTTTTTTCCTAGAACGGGGGTGGATAAACCACTGCTATGGCCTGTTTTTCTGTACCCTCAGAGTTAAGAATGGTTTTTGCATTTGTAAAAGGTTGTAAATTACAATATGGAAAGATATGCGAAAGAGAGTTTATGTGGCTGGCAAAATCTTAAATATTTACTGTCTGGCCTTTTACAGAAAAGTATCCTGACCCCTGTCCTAGATTAATTTTTAACAGATTTATTGTGGTATAATTCACATACTTTATAATTCACCCATCTCAAGTATACAAAATGGTTTTTGGAATTTTCACAGAGTTGTGCAGCTATCAACACAATCTCATTTTAGAAAAATCCCTTACCAATTAACAGTGACTTTCCATCCCTACCACCAGCCCTAGGCAACCACTCATCTACTTTCTGTATCTATAGATGTGCCTATTCTAGATATTTCATGTAAATGTCATCATACTATTTATAGTCTTTTGTAACTGGCTCCTTTTATAATTTTTCAATGTTTTTTGGGTTCTCCATGTTGTAGCTTGGATCAATACTTCATTCCTTTTTATGGCTGAATAATAATCCATTGTATGAATACACCACATTTTGTTTATCCATTCATCCATTGGTGGATATAGGGGTTTTTCCAGTTTTCACATATTATGAATAATGCTGCATGTCCAATTTTTGTGTGGATATGCGCTTTCATTTCTCTTGAGTGTATACCTAGAAGTGGCACTGCTGAACCATATGGTAACTTTATGTTTAACATTTGAGGAACTACCAGACTGTTTTCTAAAGCAGCTGCACCATTTTACATTTCCACCAGCAATGAATGATGGTTCCATTTATTCCACCTCCTTACCATCACTTCCTATTATATCTTTTAGATTATGGCCATCCTAGTGAGTATGAAGTGCTATCTCATGGCAGTTTTGTTTTGTTTTTTGGTATGTGCCCCTAGTGGGAACCAAACCCAGGACTTTCTGGTCCGCAGGCTGATGCTCCAAACGCTGAGCCAAACTGGCCAGGGCTTATTGCAGTTTTGGTATACGTTTCCCTAATGACTAATGATGTCATTACTAATGACTAATGACAAAAGATGTTGAACATCTTTTTTTTCCCTTTATTGATTTGAGAGAGAGAGAGCAAGTGAGAAGGGGGGCGAGAGAGAAACATCGATGAGAGAGAACATCATTTGGCCACCTCCTGCATGCCCCGCTCTGGGGATCGGGCCCACAACCTAGGCATGTATCCTGACTGGGAATCAAACTGGCGACCTCTTGGTGTATGGGTCGATGCTCAATCATTGAGCCACACTAGCCGGACAAGATGTTGAATATCTTTTGACCATTTTAATAAAGTTATTTGTCTTTTTATTGTTTTCAAGTTCTTTATATATTGATACTAGGCTCTTATCAGATACAATTTGTGATTATTCTCTCCCATTATGTGGTTTCATTTTCTCTTTATTGCTAGTGCCCCTTGAAGCACAAACATTTTTAATTTTGATGATGCCCATTTTATCTATTTTGTTGCTGCAGCTTGGTTTTTTGGTTTTATGTCTAAGACTATTACCTAATCCAAGGTCATGAATGTTCACCCCCAGGTTTTCTTCTAAGAGTTTTTTTGTTTGTTTTGTTTTTTTTATCCTCACCTGAGGACATTTTTCCTTTTTTTGTTCAGATAGAGTTGGGGGGGGAGAGAGAGAAAGAGAGAGAGAGAAACATCAATGTGAAAGGGACACATCGAGTGGTTGCCACCCACACGACCCAACCAGGGCTGGGGACAAACTGCAACCGGGGACAAACGTGTTCCTGGTGGGAACCGATCCCGGGACTCTCTGGACTGCAGGCTAACACTCTAAACACTGAGCCAAACCGGCCAGGGTCCTTCTAAGAGTTTTATATTTTTAGTTCTTACATTTAGATTTGTGGTTCATTTTGAGCTAATTTTTGTGGGTGGTATAAAATAAGAGTCCAAAGTTGTTATTTTGCATTTGAATATCCAGTTGTCTCAGGACCATTTGTTGAAAACTACTTTTTCCCATTGAATTATCTTAGCACCCTTGTTTGAAAGACAATCAACCATAAATGGAAAAGTTATTTCTAGAAACTCAGTTCTATTCCACTGATATGTCTATCCTTGTAACAATACCATACTGTTTTGATTATTGTAGCTTTGTGTAGTAACTTTTGAAATAGAGATGTGTTGTCCGGCTGGTGGGGCTTAACCCATGCACTAAGAGGTTGCTGGTTTGATTGCCGGTCAGGACACATGCCCAGGTTGTGGGGCTGATCCCCAGTGCGGGGCATGCAGGAGGTGGCCAATTGATGTTCCCTGTCATCGATGTTTCTATCTCTCTCCCCCTCTCCCTTCCTTTCTCTCTAAAATCAGTAAAGAAAAAAAATTTAAAAAAGAAAGAAAGAGATGTGTTAGTCCTTCAGCTGTGTTCTTCTTTTTCAAGATTGTTTTGGCTATTCTAGTTCTCTTGAATTTACATATGAAAGTTAGGATCAATTTGTCAATTTCTGCAAAGAAGCCAGCTAGTATTTCAATAGAGATTACACTGAATCTATAGATCAGTTTAGAGATTATTTATTGAGATTATTGAGATCGTAACAGTTAAATCTTTTGACTCATGAAAATGGAATATATTTTCATTTATTTAGGTCTTTAATTTCTTTCAACAATGTTTTACAGTTTTCAGAGTATAAATGCTTTACTTTTTTTATTTTGTAGTATCTTCAGATTTTCTATTCTTTTTAGTAGTCAATTTTAGTAGTTTATGTTTCTAGAAATACATCCATTACAATCTAAGTTATCTAAAATATTTTGGTTTACAGTTCATAGTATTTGCTTATAATCATCCTTTTTATTTCTGTAAGGTTAGTAATGATGCTTCCTCTTTCGCTCCTAATTTTAGTCATTTGTATCTTCTTTTATTATTATTAAAATACCGAGTTTATTTCACATGTATATTTTTGTCTCCCCACCATTTCCATTTGTCTGACCACTACTACTACTATGTCCTATCATAACATTCCATACATACTTAAAACCAAGCAAAGGGTGGAGTTCCAGCTTTAAAAACAAAACAGGCATTTCGGATAACACATTCTTGGCCATGGAACCTGGACAACATTTATCAGACACGGTAGGGAAAGTTCTCACTCTGCATTATAAGAAGGACGACCAGAGATCAACTATTACAGAAATGAAATAAGACAGA